CAGGTGTAAATCTAGGATACTTTTGTTGATTTCAACTGAGTTACTATTCTCAGTTGAAACCAATAGGATTACTCTTGATTTATACCTAGTAATGGAGATATCGTATAGTCTTCAGTCACCAACTTAAGAAGCAAAACCATTGGATCCTTCCACTACTTACTGCACCCTGCCATTCTCCGCTCACTGCAATAAGGCTGCAGAAATACTGCCTCTTTGCTATTCATGTTCCATTTTTTTACGTCCTCTCCATATTTACCCTCCTTCTTTCTGCCTGTAGGGGGAGTGGCTATTCGCAATGCTGTTAGGTATTCCCTTCCTACCTGTCTGTCTAGCTGCAAACCATTCTGTGACATTGTGCTTGAAAGATACTGCAGGAAAACAAGTTGTGTATGTATTTTGATATAGCTGCTGCCCTGATCTATGACCTGGAGGCAGTTCTATAATTTAGTCATACGGTTCAGTTATATAACAATAATCATGCCTAGCCCTTATATAGGGCTTTGTATCAGTCGATCTCAAAGTGCTTTATAAAGGAGGGTAGTATCATTATCCCCATTTTACAGATGGGGAAACTGAGGCACAGGGTGGTGCAGTGACTCTCCCAAGGTCAGTGGCAGAACCAGAATCCCAATCTCGTGAATTTCAGTTTGGCACTCTGTCTTCTAGACCACACTGCTTTGTATGATATCCATGGCCACAATTCTCAGTCATCTTTCTTACGGTTTTGATAGTGGCGTGCATTGTTGAAGAATCCCAACGTGCTTTATAAACTATAATTGCATCAGAGTCACTCACCCACTTCTGAAATGTGGACACCTCTAGGGTGAGACAGTGGTGGTTTAATTGCACACACCAGCACCATGCATCAGTGTAGAGCAGAAATTGAAGAATTCTTCATCCAGTTGCAACCAAAGGAAGAATTTTAAGTGGGCAGAATGTTAATACTCTACCCCAATTGGATTTGGCCAGAACACCACAATTAACAAGCCCAACTCTTGTGAAGAGTGTTGCAGGATAATTAATGGCCTTGGTATTACATCTCATCAGAGAGAGGGTTCCTTCATCAGCACATAAGTCCACTCTGGGGTGTGCGTTCAGTGCTCTCCCAGAGGGATGAGTACCACCTACTGAATTATCACCCCCACTTTCTGTAGTCCCCTTCAAAAGAAATGCAGCTATGTGAATTCAGCCCTAAATAACAATGTACGTCAATGCATAATTCATTTGCTAGTTAACAAAAGAACATCCACACTGGGTCAGACCAATGGTCCATCCAGCCCAGTATCCTGTCTTCCGACAGTGGCCAATGCCAGATTGCTTCAAAGGGAGTTCATTAAACAGTGATGCTTTACATACAGACGTGACGTTACCATTTATTTTAATGTCTTACCACAGGGTATTCTGGGACAGTGGGTGCAGGCAGGAGTATGCCAGCTATTTGGATGTGTACAACTTTCAACTACCTTGGTCCGGAATTTGTTGTGGTGTCTGGTGGGTGCATCTGTTTATCTTCACACAGCTAGGGCTCCCTAACTGCGCCTGCTGCTAGATTGCATGTCATTATAGTTCCATCTGGGGCACAGGGAGGTGATGAGTTGGCCACAATGGGTGAGACTTTCTGAAGAGCTCCACACCTGACAGCTCGTGCTGTTCTTTCTGTTTTCGGGAGGGAGAGGGGAGCAATTCTCCCTTGATCTCCGTGGGAGCTGCTGGACACTGAGCTCTCTGGAAAATCTTTCCATATACATTGCAGGTTCAAATTGCTGGCTGCACCCCTGTCTGGGATTTAATATTTGCAATGTGCCGTTCGTTCTGCTTGTGTCACACTGTAGATGGGATGTGCATTCAAATAGCCGGCAATGAGAACAGGAGAGCAAGGGCTTTTAAGTGGCAACTGTTCCAAGGATGGAGGAAAGTGAAGGAATATTTGACACTTTTTTTTAAAGCCTTCACTGTCAAAACAGCCCTGGCTTTCAAAATCTCTCCCTCCAGATCTAGTCTCTAAGGCCTTGTCTAGACTTTGACAGGGAGGGTGGTGTTAAAAACAAACAAACAAACAAACATGTTAGCTCATATGTTTTGGGGTTTTTTTTAAACCACTTCGCACATACTGTTGACAGGGTTTTTAACACCTTTCCAAATGTATTGGACCTTGTCTACACACTCTTTAACTACACCAGTATGGTGAAAGTCATACCACCCCAGTAGTGTGGACACAGTTCTAATGGTATCAAAGTGCTTATACCAATATCGCTTTTTCCTGTACACGAAGGGGAATGAACTAACAATGGGGTTTTAGTTTATGACTAGGGTCCCAAGGCACTACAGTAATACAAATAAATAATATTAATAATAACAGTACAAGGCACCTTTATGCCTGTATAACTGTGTCTACATTTGGGGTTTTGCAAGTATTTTGGTTAACAAAAAATCACATCTCTAATATAGTTTTACTCGTACCAAAACTGTGTGTGGACTAGGCCTTAAATGCCAATATTGGTCCTAAGTCTCTATGGAGAAATGTCCACTGCTCCTCCTAGGCTCTTTATTACGCTACAGCCATTCGTTAAGAAATCAAATATTCACAGTGGCTCCATTAAGCATATTTTAGCTAATTAATTAAAAAAACTAATCCTGAAAAATAAGATCTCCCTTTGATGACTGAGGAGACAGCTACCAGTGGCTTCGATTGAAATTTGGAACGGAATAGAACTGTAACTAATAAATGAGGAAAATGTTGCAAATTTCATTTGGGTTTGCCAAGCATTTCCCTAATTGGTTTTGATAAAGGCCATTTCATCAACCCCTGTGAAATATATCAAGCATCCATATATGTCAACAGTGGGGGGGTGGGGAGGGGAGTTCAGAATAAATTGTATTGAAATTTTTTCACAAATATTGATTCCTTTTTTAAAGCTGGCTGCTGGAGTCTACCACATAAAAGTCAAATACTAGCCGCCGATCTCCAGACTCATTGGATTGCTGCAATTCATTAAACAAATGCTGGATTTAATAGAACTAGATATTGAAACTTGTGCCATAGATGCACTCAGCTGTGAAATATGCTATGGAGTCATTTGTTTTCAGGGGTCTAGATGTCTGATTCCCATTAATGCCAAAGGGAGTTATCAGGGAAAAACTGGGGGGAGAGATAGCTCAGTGGTTTAAGCATTGTCCTGCTAAACCCAGGGTTGTGAGTTCAATCCTTGAGGGGGCCACTTAGGGATCTGGGACAATATCAGTACTTGGTCCTGCTAGTGAAGGCAGGGGGCTGGACTTGATGACCTTTCAGGGTCCCTTCCAGTTCTAGGAGCTAGATATATCTCTTGGATCAAATTTTGCTCTCAGTTACACCTTCTCAATGTAAAAAGCAACAGAGGGTCCTGTGGCACCTTTAAGACTAATAGAAGTATTGGGAGCATAAGCTTTCATAAGTAGGAACTTGCATCTGAAGAAGTGAGGTTCTTACCCACAAAAGCTTATGCTCCCAATACTTCTGTTAGGGTACATCTACACTACAGCGGGGAGTCGATTTAAGATACGCAAATTCAGCTACGTGAATAGCGTAGCTGAATTCGACGTATTGCAGCCGACTTACCCTGTTGTGAGGACGGCGGCAAAATCGACTTCTGCCGCTTTTTGTCGGCGGCGCTTACTACCACCTCCGCTGGTGGAGTTAGAGCGCCGATTCGGGGATCGATTGTCGCGTCCCAACGGATTTCTACCCGCCGATTCAGGCGGGTAGTATAGACCAGACCTTAGTCTTAAAGGTGCCACAGGACCCTCTGTTGCTTTTTACAGATTCAGACTAACACAGCTACCCCTCTGATACTTCTCAATGTAGTAATTCTAGGTTTATACCAGGTTCTATGAGTTTGCAGTGTTTGGATCTAACCTAATGCTTTGGTCTATTACATTTGCTCCATATTCCTTAGTTGTGATGTAGTTCCTTTGATTCAGCAGTTTCAAGGCACATTACAAACATTAAACAATTTATTTTCACAATCCCCAGGGAGGTAGCGTGGGCAAGTGCCATTGTGCTCATTTCATATATCGTGAAACTGAGACCCAGAGAAGTCGCACAAGTTATGACAGTGAATCAGTGAGCCAGCTGAGAGTATGACCCAGGATTTCTGACCTCCCAGTCTTCTGCTCTAACCGCTTGACCGCATTCCAGCATCTCGTTAATTTGTGCAATTTATACTTCCTTAAAACAAGAGCAAAACACTAAAATGTGATTTATGCTATATCAGTAATGCATCCAGCAAGGTCACCCTTTGTATTAGAGCGTTGGCCTGTTCTCAGATTAGGAAGAAAAGATTCATTGTCCTTTGAATCACTGCTCAATATTCTAAGAGTGAGAAGGAGGGTCAGATGCCATTATGAATATACAAAATAAAAAATCTGCCCTTTAGAGGGAAAACATTCTGCAAGTAATAGAACCACAATCACTTAGTTTCTAGGCTGAAGAACTGGGAACAGATGTCTGCAGGATACATATAGCAACAGTCCTATTCATTTTATATAATAACTAGAGATAGGCTAAGCTTTTTCTAGTGGCCAGTTTGTAAGTTTGCTCATCTGTTTGATTAAATTTGAGGGAGGGGGACTTGCTTTATTATCAAATTGCTCAGTGGATGCCTCGACTAAAATTTGGAATAGGCCAAGATATTGCTATTCGCAGCATAGAATTCAAGTTCACAATGAAACAGGAACACAGAAGACCCCACCGGAAATTTATCTACACTTGATGGTCCTTTTTCCAATCAGAAAGGGCCAATTTTGTTGGCAGATGTAAAAGAAACTAGTGATATTTCAAGCCTTTTCAACTGGGAATCATTATTGTAAACAGTGATGCAATGAGAAGATGGGGAAGGAATTTTAATACACTGACAGACAGCATTTTTGTGTGGAAGTGACACACAAGCAAATAAAAAGTAATTCACGGAATTTACATAAGGCTTCATGATCTCTAAAGTCATCAGACTGGGAGACGACACACTGAAATTCATTTTATTAAATTGTGGCTGATTATTTAATCGAAACAGAAAGGATTTAATTGAGTCAAGTCAAAAGGCCATATTAGATTACGGTCACTCTTAACACAAAAGGCATTTCCCTTCTGGCTAAACAGGTTCCTTCACATACCATACATAATAAACTACAGGCTGGTAAACTGAATAGCAAATTAGAGGTTGGCCAGAACTCTTAATGGTACCTCTTTCTTACTCCCCACCCCTTTCATTTCCGACTTCCCTCCCATTCCCTGGCCTGAAAAAACTCAGACATCTAAAGCAATACCAAACAATATAGACTGTATTTTAATATTTCCAAATATTACTTGGATTCCCTCCACCCATCCATCTTCTATAACGTCTTGGAGAATATAGTCTTCTCTTAAGGTCCATTTCTCCTGAAACTTGTTGCTCAATATTTAACTTTTCAGATATTTAAGAATACTGGTGTTAAGTTTGTGTTTGATTCTACAAGTTACTGAACACCTAGAATAAGAGGGTGTCAGTGGAGATAAAGCACTGAACTGGGGCTTGGAGGATTTGGTGTCACTCCAGACTTCTTGTGCGACCTTGGGCAACTCATGTAATCACTCTGTGCTTCAGTTTCCCCATCTGTAAAATGGAGCAATAATTAGAGTTTCAGATTTTCGGTTTTAGCCAGTAAAACACCCACAGTACCAAATCAATTAAAAAAAAAAAAGAGAGAGAGAGAGAGAAAGAAATTGGTGTTTATCCACTAAACACTGGAAAAACATCAGAACTGGTTACTTAGATGTAAAGGTTTGTCTACGTGGAAAAGGAGCAGGAATGAGGACTACTGGAGAGTGATGTCTAAAGCACACTAACGTGTCGCACATGAATTGGTCTGTGCAGACCCAGCTGGTACACACTAAAAGTTCTCTAGTGTACTTGAACGTAGTCCTGTTTGAAACTACACTTCGTTAAAGCGCACTAGGGAACATTACAAAGAGATTACTCATTACAGTAGTAGTATGCACTGTAATGTATATAATCTACATTACTCATTACATATATACAACGATGTCCCTGATTTTTGGGCAGCTACATAAAACTAAAAAGTTGCTAAAAATAAACCCAGAAAAATTAAATGAATAAACCCTGAAAAACAGAACCCCAATAACTATCCTTTCTCCCACTCTTTATTGGCTGTGGCTTTTCAGATGGTAGGCTCTTCAGGAGAGAGACTGTTTCTTACTCTGTTTGTAAAGTACATGTTGGGTCCGCTAAACATTACTGTCATATAAATAATAACAACTCTTGTTGAAGTCAATGGGCATTGAAGGCACTTGCACTTTCCCAGGTCCAGGCCCACAGCAAGCGATGTTAGAAAGGGGTGGGTGGAACGGTTCTTTTGAACAATGAGTCCCCTCTTTTCTACTCACATTAGTGGCATGTTCTCCCTTCCAAAGGCTCTATGCATGGACAGAAAAGGGCAATAGACCTCAGGCTCTGTAAAAGTCAAATGTGTTGTGGCCTCCATGAATCTTCAAAGCCTTATTTGATGTTGTCTTTTGATTTAGCTAGTTGTCTTTTCTATAGTCAATCTCCTTTAATATACCACATATGGGGAGAGTACATAGACTACTCAGCATTACCAGGCACAATGGAGCTGATCCTGTGTATGTCAAGTTGTTTGATTGAAACTCAGAATTTAAAAAAGACCAACAACAAGCAACTCCCAGAGTATTCCAATAATCTGGGGGAAAACATAGATTTGATTCTCCTTGTCTTTTGATTGTTATAAAAGCTTATATGTGATAGCTGGGGAAATTCCAGATCCAGTAAACAATGTATAAGGAGGCTTTCAAAAGCACTTAAGAGATTTAGGAACAGAAGTTCCATTGGTTTTTCAATAGCATTTGTGCTCCTAAATCCCTTAGGCATTTTTTGAAAAATTCAACCTTAAACCGTAAGTCATCCCAAAAATGTGGACACCATTTAACTAAAAATAGTCTTTATCTGGCTGCTTCAAAGATAAACTGCATTTCTGTTATGCAGCTGCATCAGCTGATTGGAGTATCAATCAGTGTCACGTGCTTTCTATGCTTGAATTTTTATTTTGGGTTCATTTATGGAACAGGCACGTGTACCAAGATTTTCCACTGTTCTCCTCCCTTCGCTCACTTAATAGCATAGCATTTAACGCTGTTGTCAGAAAATAATATGCTAGATGGCAGGTGAAATTCACCCCTATGCAGAGCAAAACCTCTGCACCACTAAAGTCTAATTTAAACCCTATTTTGAGGATTTAAGTGATACTTGGCCCTCTGCACAGGAATTAATCTCACACCTAATAATCTCACAGGTATTTTATATTTACCACACATCTTGGTCCTGGGCTCAATATAGTTCCCCTTGAACTCAATTTTGCTGTTGCAGCAATGATCAGGCCCTGAACTGCTGAGGAATTTCAACATGTAATTTGTATATCATCACATCACTAGTAGAATGGGTATGAAATTCACAGGAGCGTGTTTCTATTCTCTCTCATTCAGTTTGGATAGCGTTTGGCTCAGACCAATCAAGGGGACTCAAGCTGCATAACTTTCTGTCATAGTCTCTTAGAAAAACATTTGCCCCGTGAAATGGCTTCATACTAAACCATTATTCCTTCCCCTGTTTAATTTCTCTTTGTGTTTTCTAAAAGTATTTTTAAAACTTTGCATCAAATGATGAATCCCAAGTGCTCACAAAAGTTGACCCACTGGTTTTTTGGGCAGACCCTGGGCTGTTCTAAATGCTCCCACTCCCCGCCTGCCATTCCCATACAGTTCCTAAGGAAAACTTGCTCATCAACCCAAAATAAGTAGTGGTTTTGTGATGTAGAAACAGACTCAGCAGGGACTAGACTGAGACCAAGGATGATACATATGAATGTGGACAGAAGCAGGCATAACTCTGGTGAAGTCAATGCAGTTGCGCCTGCTTATACCAGCAATGAATTTGACCTAGGTCTACAGCAGGGGTAGGCAACCTATGGCACGCGTGCCGAAGGCGGCACGCAAGCTGATTTTCAGTGGCACTCACACTGCCCGGGTCCTGGCCACCAGTCCGTGGGGCTCTGCATTTTAATTTCATTTTAAGTGAAGCTTCTTAAACGTTTTTAAAACCTTATTTACTTTACATATAACAATAGTTTAGTTATATATTATAGAAAGAGACCTTCTAAAAACGTTAAAATGTATTACTGGCACACGAACCTTAAATTAGAGTGAATAAATGAAGACTCGGCACACCACTTCCGAAAGGTTGCTGACCCCTGGTCTACAGAAACGAAAGGCCTCATCTATCCCGAATACTTAGTCTAGTTCACTGCAAAATGTCTAGATATGGCTCCACTCTTGCAATCAGACCTGTGTGGAGCCCTGTTGAAGTGAACAGAGTTCCATGGAGGCACGATTTCAGGATTGGGACCATTATCCCGGGGAGGTTGATTTGGCTTTTGGCAAAGTGTGTGTGTGAATGAGAGAGAATGGAGATCACTGTGGAGGGGTTAACTTCCACCTGAACCAAGAGGAGCCTAGGATTTCTTCATCACAGAGCATTCAGCCATTGCACCACTCAGCCTGTTCAGAGAGCAGCATTGTCTGTTTTTAAATGATGAGCACCTCTTGTCCCTTTATGATGCCTTGGACCTTTCACAATGCCTGAAGCCCTTGAAACACCCAATTAACAGGAATTAATGGAAAGGCCGCTTACTTTGCCTGAGTGTTTCTTATGCTGCTGCTGCACCCCATTGGGGGACCATCTGTGATCTGGAGCTCAGCAAGAAGAGGGTTTTATTCTGTTTTAATTGTATGCGGCCAGCAAACTCCAACACTGTCACACTGAAAATCACTTTGCCCATGTCGCTGTCTCATGCTTATGCCTGTGGGCACATAGCGAGCTGCTCATTTTCTCTTCGACTCTCACCACGCCAGCTGCCGGCTGACATCTCAGAATTTCTGCTATACTGTGCACTCTCTTCAGGCAAAAGCTCAGTGTGCGGAGAAATCAAATCCTGCTTGGAGAGATCAAAATCAATTTTAAATAGATCCAGCTGTTCCCTATTGCTGGGTGCGGGGAAGGAGAAAATCTCATAGGATATCTTTAGGGGAATCTCAAAGGGGTTTAAAGTAATAAGGAAGATTTCTAAGGCTGGGTTATTAATTTATGGCTGAGTCTATGGTAACGTTCAAGATTTTAAAACAAATTTTAAAATAGGGAATATAGTGTAGAAATTCTTTCACATCCCCAATTTAAAAAGGTTTCAATGCTACCAATATAATATCTTGACTAGTCTATTATTGAGGTTACATTGACTAAAAGTGTAATCTGGGCTTTGCCTTAGATGCTGAATGCTTTGCTGGAAGGCTCACATCAGGTTTAATTTAAAAGAAAAATGGTAGGCTAAAAACAATGGGCCTGGGGTTTAAAGAAGTTGAATTTAATTTAAGCCCTGATAGTACACAAGCTTCTATTTTATTCCAGTATAGAATGGAAGTTGTTGCCCGATCACTGTTTTACATATATGCTATTGCAACTGCACATTCAATCATCTAGTTGCATATGTAATATCCTAGTTTGCATACACAGTTGCATTAAATGTGCATACAAGTCAGACATGCACCCAAGCATTTACATTGTTCCAAAATCAAACCTTACATAACAAGTGTCCTTGCCTCTGTCACTCATAACCACCCAAATGATGAAGACAGAATTTCAAAATTCAAATTCATTCTTCATTTATGCCGTTTATCCACCCTGAATAAACGTAACTAATGAAAACAGACACCTTCACTTCCACGTCTGTTTCTAGTCACTTTGTGGTTTTCATGTACTAGCTCTAGTGTTGCAATGTTTGGGCTGAAGACACTGCTGGGAATTGTCAGTCAAAAATCATGTTTCCTTTAAAAATAACCATTAAATACTTTCTATTAATTAGATTCTTTCATCTTATTAAAAAAAATCACAAAATGTAGATTTCATCTGCTTGACTGTAGCTTTAAAATGAGCCAAGTTCTTTTGATATTATAAAAAGGAGTTGAAACAGCTGAGATATTTAGTGTCTAGAAAAATTTATTGAGCCTGTATTTAGTTTAATAAGATTATTATTGAGGTAGATCCTGTTTCAAGGTAATATGCCTATGCCACAAAGTTCTCCAGATGATGTTGTTACAGTGTATGCCTGGTTTTCATCTATCTAGTGTGGGTAACAATACTAGCAAAGACATAGCAGCATGGGCTACATCACAGACTAGCAACCAGAGTATGTACCCAGAGACTCTGGCAGGCTTGTACTGAGGTTGCTAGCCCATACCACCTGTCTTCACTACTACTGGGACCTGTGGCTAGCTAGATTAAAGATAGCGATGGTAAACCTACCCGGGCTATAAAAAAACCCAAACACCTTCACTTTGCAGTGTAGACAAAGTCTTAAGAATTTCTCTACACAGGGTCATCCAGGAACATAAATCCAAATTAACTAACGGTGTGCATTTGAAATGGATTAGTTAAACCACATTAAACTCCCGTGTGAACACCCTCATTCAGAATTAAGCAGCCTTCCTGAAGTAAGGCCACATTAATTCTGAATGACTGTGTTCACACAGGGCTTAATGCAGTTTAACTAATCCACTTCAAATTCACACCTTTAGTTAATTTTGATTTATTTTCCTGGATGTCGCCTAGTAGCCAAGCCCGTAGAGAGGACTTCAGCCCAATAGTCTCTCCACACAGTGTGTATGTGGGAGACCCATCGATATCACTGGGAGATCCACCTTTGCAGAGAGACCAGAATATCAGCATATAGTTCCAGTGTGCAGAGAACAGAATTTTACCCTGTGTATTGACTGATTTGAGAATTCATACTTTGAAAACTGAAGGGGATTAATTTTCAGTACCCCACATAATGGCCAGTCCCTTGTCCCTAGGTGGGACACAGTGCCAGTTCCTCGAGCAACAACATCGTTAGGAGTTTCCATGGGCTGCAGCTTCACCCCATAAATGCTGTGGCCATCTTAATCTGAGATGAAATCAGTAAAAGGTTTGGCACTATTTGTGTCTGTTGAGCTACTGTTTCCAAACTTTCCATAATTAAGCATTTGTTTACACCATAAGGTAATGTGCTCTACAGGGGTGTGATTTCTAAAGTGCACTCATGTGTTGCATATTAATTGGTCTGTGTAGACCCTGCTGGTGCGCACTAAAGGTTCCCTAGTGTGCTTTAATGTACTACTGTATCTACCTGGACCAACTAATGCACAAGACATGAGTGCGCTTTAGAAATCACTCCCCCACAGAATACGTTCCCCCACTGTGTAGACAAACCCTGAGTGTTGCCCTTAAGTACCTACAGGTTCAATCCTGGGAATGGCAGAGCGCCGTCTATTCCCAGCAGACTTGGTGGGCCTCTTGCATAGTCCAGTGTGCTCCAAGCGACCCTGTGGAAGTTGGTGGAGGTTATGACAGTGAAGAATGGGCATAAGTACAGGCAGGATCAGACCTGACCTCTCAGGGAGCATAGCACAATCGGAAAGCAATCCACAGCAGACTGACAGCACGTGAACACAGCTATTTTTATTCCTGAAAGTTGCCTGGAGGCTCATTGCATGCCAAACCCCTCCAGCTCAGTGAGACTCACAGTTTTACAGTACCTTGCTCCACGGCCCCCAGTAGGATCGTTGTCTTGCTGGAGAACAACGCACTTTTGCTTTACCTCATTTCACTTCCCGTGAGTGAGCAGCAGAAACTATCGGCCCGTTGGTTTGTTAAACCATTTCCTCCCTCGGACGCCGAGTGGTGATTTTACATCAGAGCTGCTCCTGGAGCGACTGAGGACATTCTCTGTGCTCATTGAAGGGGCCACTCTTGTAGTGCCATGGTGCAAGTCTGGACAGAGAAGAGCACAGCCGGCACAAGCCAGCCTGCAAGTGGAAACTGACATGATTTCCCGTCAGCTCAACCCCACCGTCACATGGTGTTTACGCTGCCAAAGACACAGCTGACATCAATTCTATTTTTTCTAAATCAGAAAATAACAGGTCTCCATCTTCGAAGCCTGCTGGGCCAGGACCCACCTTTCTGTCCCTCTCCTGCTGTAGTTTGGTCAAGGTCACTGTGATGCCTGTGCCACTGAAAGTGCTTAGATTTTGGAAACTTCCTTGCATTTGCAAGTCCTGAGAGCACTCTCAAGACCTGGCTGTGGAGCCAAAAGCATGAGGCAGACCTGAGAACGCACAGCAGCAACTGCTCAATCTTCCCCTATTTCCCCAAAACGTTTATTTTAATCTTTTGCATAATATTTTCCCTTGTGCAAACAATAGGGTAAGAGCCATTTTTTGTACCTCAAGACAAGTGCTACTTAGAGACTGCCCCAGCTCAGTTCCCAGGGAGCTCTGGCTCACTTTGGGACCAGTCCTCCCTTTCATGCCTTAAAAGGTACCTGGGGATAAAATTGTGTCTCCTGAACTGCTGTTCTCCACTGCATCATTCCCTCTTGAAAACAGGGAGTGATGGTCTGGCTCTTCAGAGCAAGCTGGGCAGGTTCCCTGGGCTTCCAGGTGGCAGAAACCGGCTTACAGAGAATCATAGAACCATAGGGTTAGAAGAGACTGCAAGGGTCATCTAGTCTAACCCCTAACACATGGGTTGTTTGGTCAGGAATTCAGGTCTACAGCTTTGCTGCCTGGTGCAATCAAGGTCCCACAGTCCTCATACAAGCAGATCAGCTGCAGTGTGTTGGAAAGACACTGCAAAATGCTATTGCTCCTTCTAGAAGCTGTAATTTATGATGCCAAATAATGCTCCATTGCTTCAATGGGTACATACCACATTGAGCTTGCCAGCACCCACTGAGTTTGCAGCACCCGCTGGGTGGATGTGGCTTATGCAGTAATACCAGGGAAGCTGTTGCCTTTCCCTCCCCGCCCCCATCCTCTTCCAGGAGATTTTTGGTCCATTTTACTCCTCTTTGGGCACTGACATGCAGCAAACTTCTGCACAAAGCCCAGTGAAGGGAAGAGACAAAGAGAGGAAGGGGACTGAAGAATAATAATTGTCACTCCCATTGCATCTTTCATCAAAAGCTCTCGAGTCCTTTAAACAATTAATTTAACCAACCTTGCAAAGTTCTCTTTGCCTCATTTGCTTAGGGACAGCGCTTTGTTTGTCTGTGGTGCTGAGTTAACCCCGTTAAAAGGAGAATTATGACATTTGCTATCATCCATAGTCATGGCAAAGGTGGAGCAAGTAGATATTGCACCTGATCTTGCAAATGTCTATAGAAGTTTTGCAAGCCAGGCCAGCACGACTATCTCCATTTTACAGGTACCTACACTGAGGCGCTAGAGAGAACTGATGGGCTCATGGGCATGTACTGTATTGAGTTGAGTGGTAAAGCTGGGAACAACAACAACAACAAAAACCCAGGAGTCCTGACATCCCATCGCCACTAGAACATGCTCTAATTATAAAAGGGGCAGAGAGAGAAACTATTCTTACCTAAAGGGAACAGTAGCTAGAGATATCGGGCATTCCAGGACTCATGCCTCCCTTTCTGTTTGCGAATTGTCACCAAGTGGCTGGTGAGTTTCTTGGATTTTATGCATACAGTGATTTGCTGTAGGATTTCTTTGGGGGAGCCGGTGTAGTACGAGAAACTGCTACTACACCGGCTTGTTGCAAGGCTCCATCCTTCAGGCTGCTGTGGTAGGTCGGTCGGTCTTTGGGCTCTGTTCCTGGCCTCTAGAATCAGGTTCCCGGCATGAATGCTCCTGATTCTGAATGGCACGTTTGCTGCTCCTTCCCCAGCATTTGCTTTAACCCCCGGGGCCCTTTCCGCTTGCAGCAGCTCCAATCCTCGTGGCAAGCGAACGCCAACAGGGGCACAACCAGGGCTGGGGCCACTTCGGGGTGCAAAGGTGGCTGGGTGTCGGGGGGGGGGGCAGAGCTTTGCACGAGTCGCCCCCTTGTGCCATTAGCGGCGCTGGGGGGAGACGGATTCATGCACCAGCCCGCTCCCCCAGGGCAGACAAAGGAGCCCCTTTCCCCTTAGCATGGCGACTGCACACTCCAGGCAAGCGCTTCTTTCCCGGACCCATCCCCCTCCGTGGCTGGCGGAGCAGGGGGTGTCACCCGGCTCCCACCGGCCGCGCTGCAACCCGAGCCGAAGCCAGCCGGGCCTCCCTCCCTCGCGCCGCAAGCCCCGGCCAGGATGAAGGGGACTAACGCCTTCGCCCGGCCCCTGCTTCCCAGCGCGCCACGCCCCGGACCCGGCTGCGGGGACCCGGCTCCCCGCTTTAAGTTTGGCCCTTCGTGGGCGGGCAGCCTCCTCCCCCCCGGCTCCGCTCCCTGCAAAACAAACTCCCGGCCCGCCCCGGGGCTGCCCGCCACTGCGCCCTCCCCTCCCCTCTCCCTGGAGCGCCTGGTTCCTCCTGCCCCCCCTCCGCTTGCACCCCCTTTCCCCCCCTGCACCCCCCCTCGGGCGGCCTCCCCCCTGCCCCCAGCGGGCAGCGCGTTGCGGCGGGCGCCCTAGCGCGCAGGCAGCCGGAGCTCCGCGCGGGGTGGGCGCTCGGTGCCGCGGCTGGAGAGGCAGCGCTTCGCGCAGCGGCGCCGGGGCAGGGGAGGGAGGGAAGCCCGCGGTGCAGCCTCCAGGCCGGCGAGCGGACGCCCGGGGGAGCCGCTCCCCCCACCGCCCTTTGCCCCGGGCTGCTCCCCTCCGCCGCCTGGTTGCACTGAGGCGGCCGGGGCGGGGAAGGCGCCCTGCAAAGCCAGGGGCTGCGGCGGAGCTGGGGCTGGCGCTGGCCGGGCTCCCCACCTCCCCCGCTGCAGATGGTAGGCTCCATTTAAAGAGTGCTTGCCCTGCTGTCTCCCCGCTAATGTCCTTTGCCAAGCGGCCCAGCTCGCCCGGGTCTCCTGCTGCCGGAGCCGCGTCTCCGCTCATCCCTGCGCGGGGGAGAGGGAGGCAGCCGCGAGGGGATCCAACAGGTAGCGCGGGGAGGAGAGAGAGGCAGCCACCCCCCCACCCCCGGCTGGTGCATCATGCGCCTCTCTCTCCCCCCCAGGCCAAAATCCTGAACATGATGGAAGACAATAAGCAGCTGGCTCTCCGGATCGATGGAGCTATCCAGTCCGCCAGCCAGGAGATGACTAACCTGCGAGCCGAGCTGACAGCCACCAACCGGAGACTGGCCGAACTGGGCAGCAGCTCCGCGACCCCCTCGATCATGGAGAACAACCAGCACAACGCGCAAGGTGAGGGGCCCGCCGGGCTCGGGGTGGGCGACGGGCACCCGCCTGTAGCGCTCACCCCGGTGCCTCTGCCGCAGCCGGGGGCTCGGGAGGCAGAGCCCAGGCTGCTCGGTGACTCCCGGAGGGGAACATTGGTGGATTGTGCAACTTTTAACCCTTTCTCCCTATTGCTTTTGGGTGGCGGGTTGAGTCAGGGATGCTGGGGGGAGGACGTGCCCCTCAGCCAGAGCTGTATGTGTTGGGGAAGGGGGTGGAATAGGGGAGGGTCTCCGCCAAGCAATCCGTGCAACCCCCTTCCCACCCCCACCCACTGTGAACCGGTTCGGTGTGTAAACTTTTAATTGCAGGGTTGGGGTTTTCCGTTCCTGTGAGGTGTTAAGTGCAGCGTTTTAAGACCCATTTTCCTACATGATTTTTTTACTCTGGTTGCAGATTTTCCTCTGGGAGGTTAAAAAAGGCTCCAGATGTTGTAGCCGAAACAAGGTTTTGTTTTAAACGGCAGTGTGTTGACATGTTCACTTTTCCTTTTATCTGACACTGAGATATTTTTTATACCTGGGTTCCAGCTTTATCCGCCCCCGCCCCCCTTTTGCCCTGTATCCAGTCAGTAAAATAAATAAGACAATGGGATGGTGCATTGCATGGAGTTTAAATATCTGGGGCATTATGAAAACAAGTACATCTGTGGGATTTTGTTTTTGTTTTGGTTAGTTTTTGGTGGACGTCTTCCCAAATCTGGCTAAGGTGTGGATTAATTTCTCTTGATGATAGTGGGATAGACGCAATCAATCTTATCTTGAGCTGGTTCCTTGTGTAGATGAGATGGTAGAAATAGGTTGCCAGTTTATGTTGACACTGTTAACCATGGCAGCTGTTGGTAATCCTTCAAGGATTAACATTGGATGAGGTGATCCTAAAAATTAATTGTTTCCCTGTTTGGTGAAGTCAAATGGCAAATGCATCTGACATTCTCTGCTAATCAGCTTTTGACTTTAATATCATATGTTCTCTGCAAATTCAATTTATTACAGTTTAGGCTGCAGAAATCCCAAACGAGTTAAAACAGGGCAATTGAATGGAATGGTTACGACAACAAATGTGTAGCTATTAGACCTCACATTTTCTCTTTTTTTTAAATTAATAGGTGGTGATCATTTTTAAATTCATTTTTTTAAATGATGGGTTCAGTTTAAATGTCTTTAGGTTAAAATTAAAATATTTGTTTTTTTTTGGCAATTGTGAATTGTTTAACTGCACATTAGCATTGTTCAGGTTGAATTCCATTCTAAATTCACTCTCTGGCGCCTAGAGTTTGATGAAGGTCTAAGAATCAGATTAGTAATTTGGTAACAAAGCAGCCATGTTATAATTGTGATTAATGTGTTTCAGTCCTGCTGTTTAATGCATAGTTTTCTAGCATGGAATTTGGCAAATGGCATAACCTGTCTGGGAGGCGGGGGTGTGGAGGAAGGCATTACTAATATGTGCATTTCGATTACCTCACCTTAGCAAAAAGTACAGGAGTGTTGTATTTGCAGGATGCAAAGTATTGAGGATTTTATGAATCACAGGAGAGAGCTGTCTCCTAACGAGCAAATGGCAGAGAAATGAGTTTTGCTAAGAATAAAGACCCAGGGTTTAAAAAGTAGAAAAGAATCCATATGTTTTTCCAACAATTAACCCTTGCACGCCCCCCTCACTAAAGTTAGGTGGACTTTACCAGCAAGTCTGCTAGATTCAGTAGCAAAGACTGAGCATATAAAACAGGTTGATATATGTACTGTCACAAATGACATATGGCCTTAATTTTGCATGAGGCTTACCAAATGAGTGCTAAATTGTTGATGCACAGCTCTTAAGATTGTAGGGTTTGTCTTTTTTTCTTGCCTGGCTGAAATATGCTATGTTATACTAATGAAAATAGTGTTTGGGTCACAATTACTCTAGAAACATTTAAATAAAAAATACCGAACAGGTAAATACTAAATTGCAAGATAATTCATACTCAGAACAGTGTGTATGTCTGATCGGAAATAGTGCGAACCTTTCCCTGCCTTGAGAGAGCTATAATTGATTTGAATTTGCACCTGCGTGATAAAAATGTCAGAAGATATTATTTACTTATTACATATTTACTGCAAGGGTCTCTTGGTATGATGTTTATACATTATTTAATAGCTGTATTTTTTGTATGTTACCTGTAGCTTTTTAAACATAGTCACTCTTCTAAAATGCAGTGTAGCTGCTCTCATAAGACTGCTATTCCTTTACATCATTAGTGTTGCATTATTAAAGTATTAGCACAAATTGATTTAGAGAGAGTAATTTGTGGATTTGTTCCATCAAACTTGTCTTATTTTGCCATTTATGCTGCACAGGGAATTGTCGCTATTAAACAAACTTAATCCACCATCAGATGGGTTTACTGTACAATCAGGAATTTGTCCAAGCAAACAGAGCGACCAATCCTGCTAATGCTTAATTTTGCTCGTGTGAGTAGCCCCTTCCAGTCACATAAGAAAAGATGAAGTGGGCATTCACCCACAAAAGCTTATGCTCCAATACTTCTGTTAGTCTTAAAGGTGCCACAGGACCCTCTGTTGCTTTTTACAGATTCAGACTAACTCGGCTACCCCTCTGATACTTGACACTTATGCTTAAGCATTTTCAGGATTGGGCCTCTATTCTGATATCATCCTAGATGGAAGTTAATTTTTTCTAATGTGTTCATATCATCTCGGTGTGGGCACCTATCAGTTATTTTAAAATAAAGTATTTTATCTACCCTTTTAATCTCATTGAATCCTTGTGGACGTTAAAGGAACTGAGCCTAAAAATAAATTACCCCTGAAATTTAGTGGCGTTTACTAGCCAAAGTACTCTCTTTTGGAATATCTCTGTCAAAAGACCATGTGAAGAAGAAGCTCCCTTCATCTTTCTTCTCGAGTTGAATGATTAATAATAGGAATGTTGATGTACTGTAGAGGGCATCAGCTTAGATTCTCAGGTTGAAAATGTAGCCTTTTGGCTAGCAAAGCATGTCAAATCCCATTGTCTGTTGTTTTTATGATCCCTTTCTTACATTTCCCCCCTTGCCCCTGCAAAATGTATTAGCCTTAAGTACTTGTTTGGCTTTTGTCCTCTTTTTGCAACAGAAAAGTTGATTTGTTTGTGTAACACCCAGGTGTGTTTGTGTATGTGTGTGTGTGTGTGTTTGTATTTTCTAAAAGGATGCTTTGAAAAGGCTGTTTGTTCTGAGTAGTTTGTAATGTGATGAATGACTGAAAAGAGCTTATTCAGTTTGATGTGTTACTCTCAGCATAAATTGAAAACAATAGATTTGTTGTAGCCTATTTAAAAAAAAAAGCCATTTACCAAAGTGTTCATTTGTGCCCAGTGGAGAGCCTTATTTCTGTTTAATATCTATAATTACATGCATGATTAAAAATACAAATTTAAGGTCAATGGGATCTTTCTGTTATCTAAAGAGTTGGGACCCAATGATAAGAGGTGAGGAGCAACATGAAAACCAGCCATCAATATACAGTGGATCAGCTGTAAAGTTGTTGAAAGGAATTACACTCAGGTAGCTCAGTGCCTGCTTCTGCACCACCCTTAAGTCTCACTGAAGGCCTGCTGCCACTGAGTGGGTCAGTGGGAGTGGAGAGCACAAGGCAGTTCTCAGGATTGGGCCCGGAGAGCCAAATTTGGCTCAGGGTGTCTCTGTGTAGGAGTGATGACAGAGGGTGTTTTCCTGCTGAAGTGAGAGTCTGTGGCGGTGTAGCCAACACTTCTATTTTATTTTTTGCCTGAGTTAAAGAGGAGGCTATTATTTTAAATGCGACTACAACCATGTACTGCTAGTCTTATAACAGAAGCCAATCAGTTAAGTGTAAAATTACATTTGAAGTGAATTTCATTTGTCATTCTTATGGGAAGAACACTTCGTCTCATCAAAACGCTGCTTAGATTCCCTGTCTGTTTTGTATCTTCTTCCTAATTTGTCCTACTATGTGTTGTGGCAAATACCTTTTTATATCATTCTGTGTTTGCTTTTATAGGTCAGCTCTATAGACTGGTATTGGGCATTAGGTATTCTCCCAAGAATTTTAAAAGGACACTCTGAAGGATGATATTGAAAATAAATATCCATAGGGGCTGGAACTAGGGGTGCTGCTGCATCCCCTGGTTTGAAGTGGTTTCCATTCTATCCAGGGTTTACAGTTTGGTTTAATGGCCCTCAACACCCCCACTATACAAATTGTCCCAGCACCCCTGTAAATATCTGTCTCTGTGTTCTTTGAATAACTTAATTGTGGTGGGTTTTAAGTAGCTTGGCTGCCAAGCTCATTGATTTAAATAAATAAACTTTGGGAAAGCAATGGGACTGAGCTCAGGGGATGGCTTACAGGATAGAAAGCCTTTCACCCATAAGTCACAGGTTCAAATGCAGCCCGTGTTGGTAAGAACTTTCAGTTACTACCATCTGATAGTGGATTGATAGACTACGTGAAACTGGTTGGTGGACGAGTTCCGAATGGACAAGAACATTACAAAATCTCCACTAATGCCGCAGGCTCCTTGGGTGGTGGTGTGAGAAGAGAGCTGACCAAACTCTCTTGGTCATACAGGTACACATTCCAGGTCATGTTTAATGTACATTGGATATGGGGAAGTGCATGTGGAAAGCCTGCTCTGTCCTGCCTAAGCTCGATAGACAACCTGAGGGATCTGTTCTGTGGATAAATAAAAGGCTTTGGGCTCCAAGGCTGTTAACTCAGTGTAACTTGTTGCAAATGTTGTTTTAAAACCATTGTACTGATCGGGACCCCACAATAACAAACCAGTGTGCATGATGCTGCTCTTCTCTGATTTGCTGTCAGGATTTTTCTCTTGTATGTAAACAGCAAAGAGATACTTTTCAAGGATCCTTTTTCTTTCTGTAATATATATATATTTCATTTACTTACCGCATAGCAAGGATGGAGCATCTGAGGACAGCT